TAGTTGCACATCCTTCTAGTTGCTGTATGTGGGACGCAGCCTCAGCATGGCCGGAGAAGCGGTGCATCAGTGCACGCCTGGGATCCGAACCTGGGGCCGCCAGTAGCGGAGTGCGTGCATTTCTAAGCCATGGGGCCGGCCCCATGTCCCTGCCCTTCTAAGTCTGGCTCAGAATGTTTCTTTTTTCAGGCAGGCTTCTACTGATCTGATTACCACATCATCCACCCACCCACCCACCCTACATTTCCCGAGGGCATCCTGTGTGTGCTAGGCACTGGAGCTACAACGGTGGACCAGTCTTGGTCTCTGCCCTTGAGGAGCACCCATCAAGTGGGGCAGGCAGACATGGACAAAGTCAGTCACAATCAGCATGGACGGTGATGAGATGGAGGGGAGCAACAAACACCCAGACAGCTGCGTGGTGCCCTCAACTTTGCGAGTCTGTGGGGCACATGTCCCTTTATTTTAGTTTACTTCTCTTTTAAACTAATAAATCTATTTATTCACGTCTTCATTTCATCTAAAAGTCATCCATAATGTAGCTTGCAGCCCTTCTCTCTCCACCACTGAGCCCAGCGGTGATTTCCAGGGAAGTGGCCCCGTGGGGTGAGGCCGACCACGATCAGCCCCGGGAAGAGGACATTTTGTCGTGTGGGGTGTGTGAGTTAACATAGGCAGAGTGCCCACTCCTTTCATGAAGAATTTAGGGATTTAGGGGATTATAAGGGCATTCACAGGTGCCTTGTCTCTCCAACAGGACCAGGGTTCCCCACAATCTCCCCAGGCTCTTCTCCTGGCACACGCTTCCATCTAAGTGAGCACACTCACTGAACACACTTCTGAGGGGTGGGGCAACGGGGCAACAAGACTGAGAGGGAGGTAGCTAAGTCTGAAATCCAGGGCACATTCTAGCTCGGCTGCTGCTCAGAAATTCACTCAGTGACGTACTTCTTGTTTTCTCTGTTTCGTCCCCCTGCACCTGAGGTACAGGCGGCAGAAAGAACCCTGGGCTGGCAGTCAGGGGGCTCAGCTTCCAGGCCCAGTTCTGCCACTGTCTGTGTGGCCTTGGGCATGCTGTCTCCCCTTTTCGAGCTGTCGTTTCTTCCTGTGTAACACAGGCTATTGGTTCCTCTCTCTGCCTCACTGGGGGCCTGAGGAGAGGACCTAACCCAAGAGGTGGGAAACGTCTTGGGGAAATTATTAAGGCCACATGGGGGTGATCACTGCTAACAGAGCACATGCTGCATGAGCCAGCAAGCACTGCCAAAGGGCCCCAGGCAGCTCAGCCAAGAGAAACAGGCTTCAGGAAGGATGGGAGGATGGACCTGGGGAAGCTGGGAGTGCTGCCCAGAGAGAGCAAAAGGGCGGAAGCCACGAGATGGGTATCTGATGATAACAGCCGACGGTTACTGGGTGCTTTCTCTGTGCCTGGCAATGTTCTAAGCAAGCAGAAGGGCTTAGAACATGTACAAGTCTATGAGGCAAGTACTATTATCATCTCCACCTTACAGATGAGAAAACTGAGTCACAGATTAAAGTAACTTGCCCAAGGTCACCCAAGCTGGGCCACCTGGCTCCAAGCCACTAGGTTCTACTGCCTCCTATTTCCTACGCTGTCAATCAGCTGGGCTCTTGGCAGTCTTCATCTAAGGGTTCTGAGCTTTGTGCCCAGATATCAATCAAGGTCCCAGGATACGGGGAGTATAGACTCCAGCACTTACTTACATCAAGTGACCTGGGCTCTAGTTGTTCTACTGATTTGCTAAGTAACTTTGAACAAGTCTCAGGGCTTGATTTTCTTGGCTGGAATAATTTTGGTTTCACATGATCTTAGCTCAGGGTTATCTAGAAGCAGGGCAACAATGATGGTAATATCCAACACGTATGATTGCTCACCACATGCCAAGAATGGTGCTTAGCATTTTACATCATTACCTCATTTACTCTTCATAACAACCCAATGAGACAGGCTCATTAATGAAGCCATTTTACAGAGGAGAAAACTTATGTAAACAGCCAACTCCACAGGGTAGTTTAGAGCTGGATATGAACCCAGGCAGGTGGCCTCAGACCCTTGCTTTGACCCCTTCATCACACTGCCACTATAACCGCAAGTCTTTAGGGCTCCACGACCCTACTCCAGGATGAGATCACACAACACCATGAAGGTTCTTTCTCAAGGATTATTAACCCTAACAATGGAAGTTAAGAAAGCTGCTCAATTTGGGAGAAATAGTAGGAACTAATGAGAGGAAAATATAAGCTCACAGATCTGACAAAGAAATTATAAAAATGTGCAAACAATGCTTTGTGAGGCAGCCTGGTTTGGAGAGATCAGTGACTCTTTACAAATGAGGAGAATAAGGATCAGACAGCAAGAACTCGAATTCAAGTCACCGACACGCAGGCCAGCACTCATTTCATTGAGGCAGCTCTACTTTCACTGGGCCCTGTTCACGACACTTCCCTTACATCACTCCCTGGGTCTCAGAGGCGTCAGGTACACTGGTTAGACAGCTTACGTCCAGGACTGTCAGATTTTGAAGGCAGGTCTCAAACATGCCTGTCACGTGGTCAGAAAATGTCTATGCTAAACAGATTCTGTAACGAGTTGGCCCACAGGGCTGGTACAGGTAGAGTTCTATAGATTCACTACCTATGATTTAAAAATAAAATACACGGATGGTGCTATTGGGCTTCTCATGCCTCTCATCTCCCTAATGTGACATGGGGACAAACTAACAAGTTCACAACCTAGCCTCCTATTGCAGCTGAGAACAACGGTGTTGAGAGACTGGATTCTGATTTTACTTCTTCCCCTAACAAGTGACCTTGGACAGTCCCCTTAATGTTGTAGGTTCTCAGTTTTCTCATCTGAAAAGTGGGTCTAATTTAGCACCTATGCTATCTTCTTCACAGAATCAAGACAGGGGTTCTGCTGTGGAAAGTACGAGGTGATGAACACATACGAGACAAAGGATCGATCAGGCACTTTACTGTGTGCTAGAGCCTGAGCCAGCTATGGTTCAGATTATCTCACCTGATGTTCACCACCACCTCAGACACAGGTTGAATAGCTTCCCTCTGAGGCAAGAGAGCTGCAACTTGGAGGGATAAAGTCATCTGCCTAGACTTTCTGCTTAGTTTCTGCCTAGTAGTAAGTAGAACTGGAACCTGCGCCAAAGAGTGGCTGGCTCCAGAGCTCTGAGCACCCAGCTCTCTGCTTCCAAGGGGTGATGGTGTTCCTTCCTTCTCCTAGGTAAGGCATGTGTCGAAGGACGCCACCATTATGCTTTCAGGACACCCTGCACTGGTGTGAATCTGCCTCTCGTTCAGATGCTCCAACTGAGAAATGACTTGCATTATCAGTCTTTTAACAAGCCGTTCTCCTTTCTACACCAGCACGTCAGCAGAGCCTTTCTTTCTCCTTCCACTGTGTATGAAGACATATTAAGACAGCTTGGATAAGGAGATTATAATTTGTAATTAAATATTAACCTTTCTGACAGTATTAAAATTAAACCACTCAGAATTCTTCATCCCTAATCAGGTGGTTCCTGCCTGTAACTGCATCTTCCCTAATAGTCTTGCTAGTTTATGGCCCTTTCCAGAGTGCTAATTGTTTCAATCGCTGCCAACCTGATGAATTGTCTTAAAAATGCTATTTCAGTTGGAGCATATTAGCATGCCATGTGCTGCTTCTTGCCTGCCTGCTTGGCTCTGCTCTGGGTTTGGTTGAGGCAGAGCACAGCTACCGGCAGACCCAGGGAGGCTTAGGAGCCTTTGGCCAGTTATTAGGCAGAAGCAGGCCATGGATGCGGCTCAGGAGGACACAGCCTCAAGCTACCTTGTTTCTGTGGCTGTCAGGCTCTCAGGGAGGTGGCAAGGGGGCAGCTAGGCCAGAAGCAGGACAGGAGGTGTCCAGCACTCTGCTGCTGGGGTCACTTGGCTGGCAGAAGCTTGAGCAACTCCTCATTTCCTCAGCTAGGGAGGCTTTCCATAAATAGGCAAGGGCATCTGGGGTCGCGGGCAATCTCCCATGGTGGGCAGTGGGAGCTCAGCCCCCACACCGGGAAGGCTGGTAGAGAGAAGAATGTTTGGCTTCAGCTGAAATGTTTCTGCAGTCTCCAAGGACTGCTCTCTCTAACATTTCTCTCTGCATGAAAGCATTTCCTGTCAGCCTAGAAAGTCAAACTGAGCAGGCCTTGGAAAGCCAGAGTCTGGACAAACAGGGGATGAGGACAGTGCTCTCCTACATAGAATTCAGGGCTCTGATCATGGGGGAAAGGGGACTGTGCCCACCCTACAGCTTAAGGCATAAGAAACCATGTTTAAAGGCTCATGTAGGATGGAGAGAGCAACAAGGCTTCCTCTCATTACGATTTGTTTTCTCCTACAGGCCCCAAGACTCCAAGACTCCTTCTAGCATGGCCTTGATGGCACCGGATAGTAATGGTATGTTTCTAAAGCTGTTTCCCTCTCCAGACTGAATTCCTCAGGGCAGGGAGAGTGTCTGAATAAACACTGTATTACCAGCATCTAGTATAATACCTGGCACAGAGTAGGAGCTTGAAAATGTTGTATGGATGAATCTCCCTGGGTTCTCCCAAGTGCCCCAAGAGTCAGGCAGGGCAAGGATTCTTCTTTCTATTTCATAGACGGAGAAACTGAGGCACAAAGAGGTTGCATAACATGCCCAAATTCCTGGAGCAATTGGTGGCCCAGTTGAGCCCAAAGCTGAGGCCTATTTCCCGGGCCAGGGCGCATCTTTTTCACTGGCTATTGCTGAATTCAAGGAGCCTAGGATTTTTTGGGCTAGCAGGAATGGCAAGGTCTCCATGGCCTGCAGATCAGGCCTAGGCCCCAGCCCTTACCTTTTTGGCGTCTTTGTGCATATATTTGGCTGTCTGCTTGGCCAGCTCTGTTTTTCCTAGGAGAAAGGAAGGGAGAGGTGTTGGGTTAGGTCCAGATAACTATCTTCTGGAATGAAAGAATATTAGAAATGCATGGACACTAGAAATAATATATTTTATGGATGGGAATGTTGGGGCTCAGAGAGAGTTGGTGACTCTCTCAAAGTCTCTGAGGGACCAGAATCAAAGTCCACATTGCGTCCTGATTTTTCTGTGGATAGAGACTGAGGCTTTTTCTCTGCAGCAGCATCCTAAGAATAGGAGGTTGACTCTTATAATACAGAGCCAGCTTGTTCTTTGAAGCCCAGCAGAAACCCTGCCTCTCTGAGGAGCACCCTAACTTCCTGGCTCACTGCACTGCGTCTCTCTAGACACCCACGGTCTTGCCATCCAGCCAGGCCCTGGAGCCACAGGCCAAATAGAGGCAGGGAGGGGAGGAAGAGCACCTGTCTTTGGCTTCACATTCTTTCTTTGTAACATAAAGAAGGAACGACAGTACCAAAGTTGTGGCTCTGAAGTGCCATTTGGTATGATGGTCAAGCCCCTGAAGTCACTGTCTAGTATAGGAAGTCAAGTTCTACAGTATCATGGTGAGGTGGTGGTAACCTTTTGGGACCCTCCATCTGAGGGAGAGCTAGGCCCAAGAAGATGCTGATAGGGGAAGAGAAGGCAACACATGCATGAAATTCCCCATCAAGACAATGGTGGGAGGTGGGGGTGGAGGTGGGGGAGTCTGTGAGGGTGGAGAGTGAGGGGGTGAGAATGCCTCAGATAATCCAGCCCAAGTGGTTAGAAAAATACCCAACCCATTTTACTGTAGCCAATTTTGCTATGCACCTAGCACTGTGCTGGCCATCAGGGGCTTTCCTTAGCTTCCTAGAGGGTTATGCCCCAGGGTGTACTGAATAAGGTTGGTGCGCTGGGCAGTGGAGGTGGTTCAATCGTTCCCAAAGGGGAGCCTTGGGGGTTGCAGAATGGCTGGAGAAGGCTAATAGGCCCCAAAGGGCCTGGCCCTCCAGGTGAATTAGGCCCTGTGCCGCAGCTTCCAGAGGGAGGGCCATAATTCCAGCTGTTCCTAATGTGTCTGATGATCTTCTTGCTGGCTCTGTAATTTGGAGGCAGTTGTTTTGGGAGTTGGAGTTGAACTAGAGGTGGGTTGCCTGACCCTGGCCCACAGCAGCTGGGGCTGTCGGGCTTGGCCAGGCGCTCCCCTGGCTCTCCTTCCCCACTGGCTGATCTGCTGCCATTACCTATTCCAGATGATCCCAAGAAGAGGAAGACCAGAGGGTGTTCTTCATCGTACCAGCCGTTCTCCTTCCTCCGGATCGCTATGGCCAAATACACAAGACAGGAGGACCGGGAGGGAGGCAGATAAATCAATGACACAAAAGGCAGGATAATTATCACTAAGTATACAATATGTTTTACTGCTCTGCGCCCACTCAAAGTCCTCACTACCATTAGTGCTGCCTAATCTGATTAGCTGGCAAGGCCCCTAGAGACACCTAATCAGGTTAGCATGGATTTGGAAAGCTGCCCAGAGCAGATTTCGGATAAAGTTTTCCAGGATGAGCACTCAGCGTTGCCAGGGAAACTGAAAGGCGGGTGGATGGTGAATGGAGGTGAAGGGGGTGGGGGGTTGATGAAGGAGAATTCGAGAGGAACTTTAGCTCTTGGCTGGTTACCCATCCACTCATCACTGGTGGGAGACTGAGCATGCCTCCTATGCAAATGGGAGAGGCAGAGCCCATGGCAGGCCCCTGGGGACCTGGGGTGTGAGCTCTGGATTCTTTCCCATTTGGGGAAACCAAGATCTGGTCCACTGTCTGGAAATACAAACAAATGCACTTTCTGGAAGCCAATCAAGGGTAGTGTGGACACAGAGGGCACAGAAGGGTGAGCCACTTGGTTAGCATCTCCACTAACCATGGCCTCCAGTGGGGGGCTGGGTGGGGGGAGTGGGACAGATCTGTACCATGTTCCCTGGGGGCTCAGCTCTGTAGGGCGAGAGCTGACCTCTTCTCTTCAGGAGGAAGTATACAATCAAGGGCTGTGCATTCAAGGTGAGGAAATTAAGTGCCTAACTACAGAGTGGGAGAATCAGGCTCAGAAGCATCACTCAGGTATAAGAGCAGGGGGTGGAACAAGGCAGAACCATCCAAAAGAACCATTTACTGAAAATACATTATATGCTAGGCACAACTGGAAAAATCACCAACATTCTATTACTCAAGACCCATACAAACACCCTGTGAGGAAAGTATTCTTCTCAACTCCACTATACTGAGCAGGAATCCAAGGCAAGAGATAGAGACCTGCCCAAGTCACACAACTAGTAGACGGGAGAGTCGCTTCTCTCTCTAAACTTATCTCCTTTTGTTGTCACATATGGCTGCTGAAAAAAGTGAGTATCAATCTTGGCTGCATTACCGGAAACATGGCAGTCAGAAGCAGGAAGGGGACAGAGCACTGTGCAATGTCAAGGTCAGTCTGCAGATGGAACAGCATGTCTGGTCTGGTCCCCAGAGTGTCAGGGAGATAAGCAAAGGGACATATGTCAGAAAACAGGGTCTGGAAACCAAGTCAGTTGAGAAAGAGTTGACTGTCTCAGGGATGTGTCTGCCAGTCTTGAGGTGCTACGACCCTAAATGCTATACTGTGTGGTACAATCTGTGTGGTTGGGTTTCAAAGAAGTGGCTGCAGAGGTCAGGGAAGGCTTTTTGGAAGGACTGGGACTGATGACAGATCATGGAGGCTGGGCAGGATTTGGCGAGGCAAAGGCGGCCAGCATGACAGAGGTGGAGAGACAGGAACAAACATGAGCAGCGGGGGGTGGGATCAGATTACCAAGGTCTCAAATAGCTGTCTTAGGAGTTCAGGTCCACACTGTGGTTTCTCACCTCAATCTCTAATGCTGCCACCTACTTTCTCTCTAGTTCTGGCCTCAGCAGATACAGATGGAAACTGTGCAACCTCCTGGACATCAGACTAGCCACTGCCTGCCCAGAGATGCTCCCTGAGAATCTTGAAAGGGGCCTGAGAAAACACTCAGTCCAAACTCTCCCCAGGGCTATGTTCCAGATCTTCTCTAAACTAACCGGCCCAGTCCTCTGGAAGGCCTGGCTCTAAGGGGAACCCAGAGGCATCATGGGATCCTGAACACTGGGGATAAAGAGAGAGAATTCCAAGCCTGGCTGGGAGGGAATCCCCAGTGTCCAGACAGAAACAAGAACCCAAGGGTGTGGGTATTTGGGGAGGCTACCAATTATAAAATGGCAAAGGCTAGACTTTTGTGAACACTATGTGTGGCTGTGTGAGGATGCGTGTTGGGGCTGGGAGGAGAGAGTGGTCATCTGAAAGGAGTCACATTCTTCCAAAAGTTGGCTGAATTGAGAATCTAGGTTGGAAAGCAGCTGAGCATGAACTGAGTTCAGGGTTCACGGGGTATCTGGGGAGGCAGAAGTGCCCAGGTATCACTCAGACAGGTGGCCTGGGAGGAACGAGGTTTGCCGGGTGTCATGTACCTGAGGTTCTGATCTTGACTTCCTTTTCAGGGAAGCTTCCCAGCCCACTGAGAGCTGCACAGTGCAGGGCTATGTGGTTCAAAAACCCCGTGGAGAATGTGGAATTGGATTATGCCTGGGGCCATCTTTTCCCTGTTCTTTTCTAATAATGCACCTGGGAAAGAGCTCTTTATAATGCCAGGCAGACTCCACTGCACAGCTGTCCCTGGTCAATTCTGCCAGACCCAGGGCATGAGTCTGGGGTGGGCTTGATCTGGGGCCCCTGTGAAAGAGGCGAAATGCCAACCATTAAACAATTACAACTCTGGATATTTCTAATAATATCTGAAGAGAAAAACGGCAAAACAGATGGAGTCCGACAGAATGAAAAATGGAAGCAGCTAGAAGGACTGGGGAAGGCGGGCCCCAGGGTGTGTGGTTGGCAGAGTGGTTGAGGACCAATGCTGGGAGCCTTGATGGTCTTGTCAGGCCAAGGCACAGACTGGGACAGCCAGAGACCCAGATGGGCCCATGGGGGATGTGGCCATAGGTCTGGGTGCTCTCGCCGTGGACCAGCAAATGCAGCACCCTAATCTGCTAGCACTTCACAGCCTCTAAAGACCTTCGGTAGACATAACTTCATTTGAGCCTCATGAACCTATGAGGCAAGCAGGGCAGGGAACTTGATTCCCATGTTATAGATGACATATGTACAAAGAAGCGAGGTAACCTGCTCAAGGTTACACAGGTAAATAAATGAAGACCCTGGGCTTTTACCCTTAGCTCTGGCTGGCTCTTGAGCCTCAACTGGTGCTTCAGGAGTTTGAAGAAAGGAGTCGGCTGCCCACCACCACAGCACCATACCCTTGCTTCACCTGGAAACTGTCCCTCTGTAGTCTTCCAGTCTGGCTCACTCAGCCATTCAACATATGGCCTCAGGAGCCCCTGCCCCCTGCTCCTCTCCTGACCTCTGCTCTCTGGGCTCAAGATGGTGTCAGCGGCACCTGAGCAGACAGCTCAGCCCCTTCCCTGGCCAGCCCCATCCCTGCGGGCTCCAATCAGGCTCTGCTGCCTCTCCATGTGCTGGGCCAGCGCCAGCGTCTCCTTGCCGTGTTCCTCCCCTTACCAGAACGCCTTCTCCTGGCCACGTCTACCACACGGACCACCCTAAAAATCACCTGCGACAACTTTTTTGATTAACTCCACCACCCCACATCTACCCCATTAACTCCCAGGCTGTATTCTCTGGTCCGTGTTCACCTACAGGGTGGTGTGCTGGAGAGGGTAGAAGTTACAGGATCTAGTTTAGAGTCCTGGCTCTGCCACTTACCAGTTGACTGATACTGAGTAAAACACCTATTCCTTTAGAGCCTCAGTTTCTTCATCTACAAAATGGGAATCATACATGCTGAGGCAGCCCCACATGAAGATTAAGTGAGTTAACATTTTGTAAGTTGCAAAGAGTGGAATAATAATAAGAATAAAAATAATGGTAGTCATAGTGGCAGCAGTGGCAGCAGGCTTTAGCTTTGGTACTTTACAGATATTTCTTTCATCCTTCTAATAACTCTGAGAAGTAGGCATTATCTCCATTTTACAGAGGAGACTCAGGCTCAGAGAGGGGCAGTGTAAGGGGTTTCATGCGCCTGTGTCCTCATATCCAGCAGGGGGGGGTGTGCCCCAATCTGACTGTGTATTCCACGGGAGCAGGTGCTAAGAGTTCTATTTCCTGAGGGACCCTTGGGAATAGCTCAACACTGGTTTAATGCTTGCTGACTAAATGAATGAGCACTTGGTCTTTCTGGAATCACAAGGAGAGAGAATAGATACTTCAACTCCTATTTTAGAGAGAAGAGTGAGGCCTGGACCCAAGTGACTCTTAGTGCTCCAAGTAGTTACTACTACCCTTGGATGGATAAGGCTTCTGTTCTCTTCTTAACCCCTCTGCAAGGTGTCTTATCTGCCTGTTCAGCAAACAAGCTCTGTGCCAGGGGCTGGGGTACCTATAGAGAAGCCTAAAATAAGGTCTGTGCCTTTTAGGTAAATGTTGCTATGAAAACTGGTTCCAAATGGAATGGGAGCACTGTGAGAAGCGTGAAAAGAGCCATTTGTGCCTGACTGACATGTGTGCCTGAAGGATGAGGGGGAGATTGCCAGGCAGTCCAGGTGTGACAGGACATTCCAGAAAGAAAGACCAAGTGTGTGCAAAACCCAAGCGAGAGAAAAGAGCTGCTGCCTCCTCTCATCCCAGGCCTTTGTCTCTGTCCAGCTCAAGGTCCTGGGGTGGTCTGGCTAGGCTGACTCATCCTTCCTGATGAACTCGAGCGATCTAGTGTGGGAGATTTTTAAAACCTTACCTGGAACACGTTTGTTCCATGCCTGTGGCATCTCCTAGGGGAACCAGTCCGTCAGAGGGACACTCATGGCCGAGAGTCACCCGAATGTCTATTAGCAATTTCCTGTCTCTAGCTTGTAGGTCTGAGGAGCACAGCAAGCGCTCACGAAGTGCCTGCTGACTGAGGGGCTACTGGGGCCCCAGGTTTGGAGGATGATGAGAGAGCAGTTCTCTTCTTAGTCTCTAAGGATTAGTCTTTCTGAAGGCAAACTATTGCTACTAAGTGGTTAACATACTAAAAATGCAAAGAGGGGCCGGCCTGGTGGCGCAAGCGGTTAAGTGCGCGCACTCCGCTGTGGCGGCCCGGGGTTCGCCGGTTCAGATCCTGGGCGCGCACCGACACACTGCTGGTCAAGCCATGATGTGGTGGCATCCCATATAAAGTGGAGGAAGATGGGCACAGATATTAGCCCAGGGCCAGTCTTCCTCA